TTTATTGATAACACATCCTTGAGAGAATTTGATCGTATCAGCTATCGATGACCGTGAATACATGAACATACAGATGAGGTGAAAAATAAGTAAGAACGTATACTATTAGAAGACACTGCTTCTCGATTGTTTACCAATTTCAATCAAATTTGAATATCTAAAAGTATACGTCATTGATACATTTCGACGAATTTTATCCTGATTTAGAATTTTTTCCATAACGGAGCTAAAAAATTCATTTGAAATTTAAATGATTCGTCGCGTTCAAGTTCTGAACATAATTTCTGCAAAGCTTCGAAATTTCTTTCCTATTTCTGCATACATATGTACAAACTGAAAGCAGCGTGTTCTCCGCATTCTCAGTGTGTGCGCAGCTTAGACCCAATTTTTGAAAAAATCAGTATAAATATTTAATATAAATATTAAACTCTAATTCACAGTTCTGTTTTATCTGGTCAAACACCTGCATATTACCTGCATTAATCTAAACGCTTAAACGGGAAGATGATCAGCTCGACTTCGATTAAAAGAAATACAAGAGACGAACACGAGTGCCCGAAATAATGGATACAGATCGGTATCAAATCTTTCTAGCAGCTTATCTCAATCGATACGCTCGAAGCTTAAATCGAAACCTCATTTTTAAAAGTAATTCATGGGGATAACAACGGACACTTATGGACAAAAAATTAAATGCTAAAGCAGACACTATTGTATATATCTCGAAACCGTTGCAAATATTGTCTCGATAAAACTAAATTATTCTAACGAAAGTTTAATAGCATAAATACTTTTTTTTTTATAAACAAGGTGGTGGAGATGCTTTCAAGATTAAGTTTATCCCTTTTTTAATGAAATCTTACATTTCCTCATTCATAATATAATAGCGTTTATTGAATCGAAAACAATGACCTGCATAATGATATCATTTCGTTTAACAGAATGTTGCAAATTAATAGATCCTGAAAGTGTTATGTCTATAGCACGCCAATAGAATCCTCCCTCCTTATATATGCAAGAAAGTTAGCTCACCACGATATTAGACAAAAATGTCAATAAATTTAAATTTTCGGCCAGATTCGATCACCGTATATTGCTACATCGCTGCCTGTGACAGTATCGACCGACATCGTATTATGTAAAATGTGATTAAATATATTATAGGCAAATGTTAAACGTAGCAATATGATGTTAATGAAGATAAATAGATATATAAAGGATAGACTAATAACTTTAACGCGAATATCTGCATTATTTTTAGATATGTGGAAAAATAATTGTCTATAATACGTTGAGGCAAATAACATGCTTCAGTACCAATCTCAGTAACAAGTGGAGGAGAGATTTCAAAATTTCTTCATCTTTCTTAATGGCATATTGTATTTTTCTATTTTTAATATTAAAATAGTGAGTGTCCGTAAAGGATTTAAATCTCTCCGAATACATTATTATTCAATGATAGATAGTAAGATGGTAAAGCAAAAAGATTGGAGGTCTTAGTGTTTTAACCAAATGAGAGAATGACCTGATTTGATACAATCAATCAAATACATTTTGACTCCATTTATTTACAGTCGTAAACCCATAGGTTAACTACCATAGGTTAAACTATGAGTTAACCTATTCTATCCATACAGAAGATTATGTGTCTGATCTACGTGTCTGAACACCATATTGAACATATCTTATAAGCCTCTTCTCTTCTATTATCTATTACTTGTTTCCTTCTACTACCTATTACATAATAATCTTGTATTGAGCATCGTTGAAATCGTCCAAACACTTGGTATTTTACTAAAAATAAGAATATAATATGTTAATTAAAAAAAATTGAAATACTTTGATATCTCTAACAGTGTTCCACTTATTAAAAGATTATAATTTGCATGTTATATGCCTTGCCTGTGCAATTTCTGTATATGTATGAAATTTTTTCGTATGTCTAAAAATAATAGAGATATTCAAAACAATCAAAATTACTGGTCCACCATGTATAATCATATTTCTATCTGAAAAAAATAGTTAACATTAATTTTAACAAAAATAGTTACGTTTAATTATGTTTAGTTAGTCATTTTATTGCGTTTTGAAATCTTGCTAATTTATAACATTCTGTAGTAAGTACATCATTGCATTTGTCTTAACAAATGCTATTATATTATAAACAAAACTGTATAGAATTCTATTTAAAGGAATATTTAAATTATGAAAAAAACTATTTACATCAAATAATATTCCTCTCCATAAATAGCATCTTCCTTTAAAACAATTTTTTTATACTTATAATAATTTCTGACATATTACAGTTAAACATTACACCTTGTATGTTGAATATTTTTATTGACACTATTAATCAATGCGATATCAATTAAAAAAAATAAAAAACGATAAAAGTCGACCTTTGAATTTCTTTTGTATGTTATTAAAATTTCTTCTCGAGAAAGCTGTCTTCGTTAAATATAATAAGTAAAAATCTAAAAACATGACTTTGGACGAACATGTAAAATATAATAACATTAATTTCCCAATCGATTTCAATGCTCTGTTAAACAATACGTATCTCAACATTATCATTTTAATAAATAGCTCTTCTTACTGATCGTTGTACCAATCTATTGATTATGTTAGAAGATATTGTAATACAAAAATGTCTTTCCATTTCTAACAAAACATTCTTTTTCATATGAATAATTTCTATATTATTGTTACTAGATTATCTACAATTTGCCAATGACCTTGTCTTTTTTTCAAATTCTCATGGAAGTACATTCATTTTTCAAAATTTCAACATTATTTTTTATAATAATCTGTAAGTAACGATAGATACGTGCTTCCATACATTTCATATGTGGTGCTTACCAAATGACTAAAAGTTTCTGTAATACAAACTAATTGATAATATCTCTAATAATTTTTTAATGAATAGCCTAAGATCTATAACTTTTCTTCATTTCCTATCTCCGACATTTTTGGTCAATTATGTTAAATTCTTTAGTAGATCACTGATTTTTTCTTGTTGAATTCGAAAATAATAGCTATTTTATTAACTATAGGTATTCTGTTTTGAAATATTTCTTTTTTCTATATTGAAATGTTCTATGCTTAAATCATTGATCCCTTTTCAAACTTGTTTTCCAGAAGATATTGAACCTGGAATATCGAATATTAAAGACTCTTATCACAAAAAATAAATAATTTTAGAAAGTTCCAAATATTACAGTTCTAATTCGATTTCTTATAGTATCATGAGATTGCTCAAGAGATTAATCATGAAACTGATCACATGTACCTAATAAATCACATTGTGGTTTCTCACTGAATCATCTCTAATCATGATATCTGATTGTACATTAATTTTACTATTTCCTCTATTTATGTTTTTTGAGAACTTTACAATATTTTTCGTATTATTGATTAATTGATTATTATCGTTTCTTTAGTTAAATGAAATTTCGGTAAGATCTTAATTGGGAAAACAAATGGCAAAAGAAATTGTATCATATAGTCATTTTGTCTCTTTTACAATGTAGAAAACGATTTTACTATTTAAGCGGTTATAGTACCGCTAAAGATGTTGATTTTGTTTAATTGCATTTGTGGGAGATACTAAATCAGTTATATCCTAAATAATTTAATTTTCTTCCATGTGTTTAATATATTAAAGGTAAAGACATGATACTCTGATAATTAAAGAACAGATTATGCTTTATTCTACGTTTCTACCTTCATTTATTTTACATTTTCCGTAACATTAATTTCATAACTGACTTCTATTTTTATTTTTGACTTTTATTTTTATTTTTAAACATTTTTTATGTTAATCTGTGTCTACCTCCAGTGATTTAAAATCACTGTCATATACCGCTAAGAAATATTCCGTTTACGAATTCAGAGATAATAGATAAAACATCCATATTCTATAGTTCTTTTCATAATCGGTAATATTCGTTTTCGAAATCATTATCTTGATAACCTTGAGCTTTTCGATGATTTCTTTTCTTCGTTCTAATTCTATTATATTGTCGAAATTACTAACTAATATTATATTATATTTGTTATACTTATTATATCTAATCTTTTGACCAACTATATGCGATAAGCCGGAAAAAATGTTATCAAAAGTTTTTCTAATCATTCCTTATTGTTCTTATTACTCTCATACTAGTCCAATAGTATAATAGTTAGTGGTAGTTAAGTTGTGGGTAATAATTAAGATCAAGAAATCTTAGTTTAAACTGAAGTAGAGACAAGTTGATTCTAATTACGTAATAATAAATGAGTACTAGGTGAAATATTTTTTATTACATTAAAATATAAATAAATGAATACTAAGTAATATAATCAGTATTATAAATGTCTTTAGAATTACCGTAATCCTACCGCTATATCAATTCGACTATATAACATGTATACTTACTAGTTATTAATATCTTTATACTATCGATAATAAAAGAGCAATTAGAATACTTTTTATGATGAGTTTTCGTTTTCTTAACGATGTAAAAAAATTACCAATTCAATGCTGACTAATCGTTCAAGAAAAGTAAAGAAAGCGATGCATTAGCTTTACAAATCTTTATTACAAATAAACACAATTTTATTCGCGATATAAAAGTCAAAAGACAAAAGGGACAGATAACGGTCGTTGATCTAGCAATCAAAAATGTTAATGACGAACTATTTAGCCGTCAAATTGTGCATCAACATGTTTAGCAACACGATGTATAATTCACGGAATACTAAGCATTTTTGACTGCACGAATTTAAGTCGTTATGTAATAGTAGACATGAATCTTTTTACATAATTTTATTTAAAAAAAAAAAATCGATAGTGACCTTAAAAACTGTAAATGTATAACTTTTATGTAAGCAATTTGTCAAGTATTGTATTTGACTGTTTAAATTTTACAATCTTTTTCCTTACAAATTTTCATATATTATTAAAAATAACAAATATATTTTAGCTTGTTACATTAAATGAAATGCATAAATGAACTTACCTACTGCTTTTCCAGTTGTTGCAACTGCTCTTCCGGTTGATGCCATTGCTTGATTCAATTTTCTACCACTTTCTGTGTTTTGCATTGTACTAGAATAGATATATTAATTTAATTTTATATAATTATTATCTTAACTTTTATTACCGAAATTATTAGATACTTACTGTGATAATCGTAACTTCATATCTTGCACTGATAACTGTCCAGCAAATGGATGACCTGGTTCTATATTATTAATTTCTGGCTTATTAGAGCTATTCCATATCTTATAGTTATTTGTTGAACGCCAGGCAGTCATAAATGCAGAATTGTAATGATCACACTGACGAGAGTCTTGTTGCATAGATGTTCTCAACATACTTAATAAATAAACTCGAAATTGAGTTCTAATCCATTCATCACCACCTTCCCAACCTACACCATCCAAAAAAATATCTTTGCGTGGTTCTGCTACATGCCTCACTATATAATCTGCAAATCTTAAATCCTCAGTTGTAAGATGCAATTGTCTTCTTAATTCTGGATCACTTGTTTCTATTCGTGTATTTTCAACCTTTACATGTTTTAGTAAAGTAAGTTATCAGTAATATAATATACGCTTTTCAAAGTAAAATATTCCATTTAAAGCTTACTTCTACTAAGACGTCAATAAGTTGCTTCTTCTGTTTAAATAAAACATTTGTTGCCCCTACTATATATCCTCTAACATTTATATCTGCCAAAAGATCCAAATATGGTAAAGACAGGTATGGCAAACATAAGTAACCCTTATAAATATTAATAAATCATTAATAATTTATTATCTTACATATTTGCAGTGTTTATTAATCTATATCTTCATACCTTTGTAAATATATTTAATGGTAAACCACACAATTCTGGATTTACATGAGCAATTTGAGTAATATTATTTGTTAAACGTGCATCAGAAAGTGCATCATTACTTGTATCACGTGGTAATGTATTATCAGTATCTGTTGTACTTAATGTAATTGTATTTATGCTTTGCACCCTATGTATATTGTCATTTGGCTTTGAAGAATATACAGAATTATTTTCTTCTGCATAAGATTTGGTACATTCTTGTGCTGACTCAACTTCAATAACTTTCATATTCAAATTTTCATTTTCATTGTTATTCTTTTGTACCGTTATATTCTTTAATTCATCCATACATTTACCTTCCATAGTTTCAATAGCTTTATTATCATTTATGCATAATGTATTCCTATCAGAATTACCGTTAATATGCACTGTCACTCTATCAGATATGCTGTCTTTAATACAATTTGTGGAAGATAAATTATTACCAATGCTATTTATTGATATTTCTTCTTCATCAAATGTAGGAATAGGAGACATGGGTCTGGATGGTCTAAAGGAAAACAATAAAGTGTAAATCATGAAAATAATATAATTAAAGAAAAATATTTTCTTTTTTTTTTCTTATACCATATGTACTACCTAACACATGCAGCTTGTTGCAAACCATGTTCTATCATACCAGGATACAATGAAAGTAATGTCAATATTGCAGCGCATAATGGTTGAACTGGTGACTGATAAAAAACTATTTTTTTCTCTAACAGAAGTAGTTTAAATAATAAAAGAACTTTATGGCGAAATTGTAATATGAAATCTCTTGCTGACAATCCTATAAACATTAATTTTTCTTATGCAAAATGTCTATTTAAACTAATTTTGTTTAAACTGAAAATATCTAATTACTGGTTCATAATTACCAACAAAGATTTGTGGTGGTATTTGACTCTCACAACTCATACAAGAATTAAGGTGATGATACGTATCTTCCAATAATGACACCTTACTAAAGTCACCTTCTTCAAAGTATGCATGTGTTATCAAAGCCATTTTTACTTGAATATGACCATATAATGGTAAAGTGCTTAATACACAAACAGACTTTTGGACTGTACCTCTTGTTATATCAGATGTACGATTTTTTAATTTCTGAAAATGTATAACTGTTCTAAATAAATGTTTAAATGTCACTTTTGTTTATAATATAAAAGTATATAAAGTAAAAATATTATATATTTAAAACAAGGATTTTATTTTCTTTTTTTTTAATATAAGTAAAAACTTTAAGATAAATTTTTTTTATTAGTTGCATAGTTTTCGAGAAAAAAAACTTAGAATTTTAAATTATAGGTACAAATTTTCATTATGGAAACTGTAATTTACAAACAAACTTAGAAATTTATCTACAATATACTTGATACATAAATAATGTTGAATAATCATCAATTTAACTAGCCATAGAATTATTTGGCCTCCTACCTGGACTGGAACATTAGGCGATGTTTAATGGTTTATTCTGACGTTAACTTCCAAATTAGCAACATGCAAGAAATTAACATGTTGTAGGAGAGAGTTTAAGTAAATGTAATCATGTTTTTTCAAACTTTTAAAAACAAAATTTCATCTGGGAAACTGCAAAATAAGAAATTACTTATAATTTTTTGGTGACAAATGTACTTTTTAATACTAAAAAAAAAAGCTCAAAATTGAAGTCTTCTTTAATAACATAAAAAAAAAGATTTTTTTGACTGAGTTTATTTTTGAAATAAAAATTTAATTTAGCAGTTGAAATATATAAAATTTAATACAATAAATTTTTGTAAATATTATTTCTTTAATTGTTAAGTTTCCAAAATATCTTTATAAGTTTTAAACATTATGTGTTTGAAATCACTATCCAAATTTATTGGTAAATTTATCAATGAGCATCATGAAACACACTGTATAATACTGCAGATTTATTTAGATATAAGTTTTACATCCAAAGTCATTTTTCTCGAAAATTACGCAAACAGAAATAGTAATTTTGTATCATTTAATAATGAAGTGATTCCTTATTAGGCATATAATATTTTAGTGAACACTATACTTATAAATAATATAGTAGATATAAATATTTTAATTGTGTTTATTAGGAATTTATGTACATTATAAATAAAAGATCCAAAATGAAAATATATTCTTAATGAATTATATTTCAAATTGTATTTATCTGTAAGTTATTTAAGCTCCTTTTTTATTTCCTGTTTCTAATGACAAATTCAAAAATTTTTAATAATTTTTAAATGTATAACAATTTCTAACAAATTAGTACTTTCAATATTAAGATTTAAGGGTTTTTATTTAACAAGTTAGTTAAGTGAAACTGAAATCTTATAATTATCAATATGAATACAAGAAGATTTGCATCAGATTAAAATTTATATTCAAAATACAAAAATCATGTGTTATTGTATGGACAACTTATTCCTATTTATCACAATGGAAAGCTGTAGTATTATACATATAAACATTTGTTATTAAAATATTGGATTACATTAGTCTTTTAGTAACAGGAATATATTTTTGTGAATATATATGATATTTCATTTCTAAATAAAAATATTATACTCTATATATATTAGCTTAACACATTATGTTCTATTTTTGACCCATTTTGTAATTTATATTAAACTTATAGTTCCTTTGCTTACAAATTCACCTATCGTGGAATTACTACTTTTCAAAGACTCTTTGATCTATATAGGCATGACTGCTTACCACAATAAATCATGATTAATATGATGAAAAACTAATGACTAATAATTTAATTTAATAGCAAATAAACTCAATAAAAATAAAAAATAAACATATATATTTACTTTAATCATCAATAATATATTTAGAAAGATAAGTCACTTTTGTATGCAGAAAACTCAAAAACGAGATAAAACATTTATTTTATTGACATTAAAAAACAATGTGTAATTAGATAATATTTAATTGACTAATTTTTTACATTATGTCAAGAAATTTAAAGACAGTACACAAAACATTCTTAAGTAATATATTATTTGTTTTATTTATCAATTTTCTATCATCTTCCAGATTAATATGTTATATTATCCTTAACTCTTCTATCATAAAAAAAAAAATAAAAAAAATAAAATATTTTCTAGCCAACTGAATATGCACCAAAATTATAACTAATACTGTCAATAAAAACAGTCATTCATATTAGTAAAAATAATAATTTTAATGTATATAATTGATTGAACCCCTTAATTATTTTAGTTAGTGATATTCACTTTGTTTACATTATTGTAATCCATTTAAAATTTTATAACATTTTCTTAGAACCTTCCTGAATATTTACTCTAAACATAAACTTACCTTAATAATATTGAGAACATAAATTAACACATTAAAATTAAAAAATAAAATGGAAACAAAACATTAATTGTAAAGATTAAGTATATAATATTAAATATAAAAGATATTAACATACGGTACATATCAATAAAATATAGTCAATCATATATACTTTTTCAAAACATATACTATTTAGGTTTATGTATACAATATACACATTATCCCTTTATTATTAATTCATTTCTATTGAACTACAAAATTTAGTTTTTTTGAGAAATGTATTTGACATTATTAAGAAGAGTGGATATTTCGTGATTAAAAGAATGAGGTTAATAGAAATTTTTGTTTACTGAAATGTATTTATTACCTACTTCTTCAAAACTTTTGTAAATATAAGAAATTAACCTATCTATAGAAAAACTTTCATTATTAATATTATATTACTAATATTACATAGGACAATACAATTTAAGATTTAAAAGTAAAAGATTCTAAAAGTTCTTGAAAATAAAAAATAAAAAATTTTGATTACCTCAACAGGAATTTGTCTAAAACATGAAATGCCATATATTGTGCGTTTTGGATTATTCAAACTAGGTAAATGAAAGTAAACTGTATCTTCATCATAATTATGAGATCCATCTGGTAAAGCAAGGGTTGGTAAATACTTCCAACCTAATGGACATTCATTTGGAGCTTCAGGCACCAAAGGAGGAAATGAGTACTCTACCTAATAATAACATAATACCAATTGTAAATGCTATAAATGTAAAATATATTATATTTAATTAATTTTTAAATGTTGCTAAATACTGATATAGTTATAATGTATTATATATCAAAACATAGTAAAAGCTATATACTTTAATTAAAACTATCTTTGTATAAATGTTATAAAGTTATTAACTTACAATTTATAAAATATTCATATATTATAATGTATAAATATTTTATTATGACAAATTTGTAATCTAAAATGTATGTGGCAAACAAAATTACAAAACTTTTTTAACTAAAATAACAAATAACTTACTTGACATCCTTTTTTATGATGAAATCCGACGACAATTACATGAAGTATTGGTCCAATTGATTCTGCCATATTTTTAGAATGTGTGTTACATAAAATTTATATATGTTGCACAGTTTTTGTTCGTATTAATATATTTTTTTTTATTTTGAATGAGAAAAATATACTTTTCTATTACCAGTCGACTACACAAACTTAACACGCGCTCTCGACCACCATGTTAGTTCCATGCTTACCAACCATATTATTTATCTATTGTAATCAACGATAGATATTCAAGTATAAAATATCTGTATATAAAGAAATAATATTCTTTACCATTTAATATTGTAATATATTAATGACTTTTATTATATCAATTATGATAGCAAAACCAAACACAATTTTTACTAAATAAGTATAATATTTCACATATGGCAAAAAAAACATGCCATATATATTAAGAATTAACTATATAAATATTTTTAAAGTTGTCAAGTATTATTCCTACTGTTAATTTAACAAAACAAGTTACGAGATAATATTTTAGTTCATCATGTATGATTCATCACAATGATTATTCATTAAATTTTTTAAATTTCTAAATATTATTACGTATATGAATAATAATATTTGTTTATGGTAAATATAATAAAAGAATGAAATAAATATTTGAGAAAACCAGTAAAAATAACTGTTTAATAAACATTTGTATTTAAAAATTAGAAAATTATATATTTACAAAATTACATGTTTCTCTGCTTATAATAATAACACTTACTCTATTTATAAAATGCAGAAAAATAAAATTAATAAGAAAACAAATAATTATTCAAATATAACGGAGAGATATAAAGAGAAATCTTTTATTATACAATTTGTTTCAATGACTTGAAAAGCATATACAATTATAGAAAGTAAAATAATTTAATTTATATCATATTGCAATTAAATATTTCATTTTAATGTTTTAGTATGACAGTAATATTTTAGTTATTTCAGTTAAAAATTTTTCTCAAATATAATAGATATTAACAAAACAAGTAATAGTATACCAGTTAGAAACATTACCATTTCTGACTTTACTTCGCCAATTTATAGCCTTGATCTTTTTATATAATTGATCTGCCTATAGCAGTGCCCTGCAGCATAGTTCTTATTATGCTCCATTCAAAATGGTAAGAGCACTATGTTCATATTTGGTCAGAAATATTAGATTGTTTTCTGCCATCAGCCTCATAGCTGCCTCTCTTCCCTGTGTTAAGGAGGAGGAAGAGAAGGAAAAGGATGGGTGGAAAGAGTTGATTCCTGGAAGACGCGCTACCTGCGTACATTAAATCCCCGTGTTCCATCTGGCCCAATAGGCATACGAAGAACATTACTTGGTAATCCACTACTACTTGAGGTTATTGATTTTGGTTGAATTTTATTTATTTCTTGCATTAATTTTTCCTCTGGACTTTTTTCTTCGCCTAGAATTCTTTTCCTTGCTTCCGCATACTCTTGTTCCCTCTATAAATATTTTTAATTATACAATTTTTGCCATGTTTTTCATTTTTGCATAATAAAAATATACCTGTTTTAAAGATTTAATAGGTTGTTTTGGTTTATCTCCATTCACTAATGGCCCATCACCACTACCTTGTGAATCTCTTGTAGGTCTTTTTAATATTTTTACTGTTGGTTTAGGAGGTACATATTGAGATCTCATACCATCATCTCCTAACATTATCATTCTGGCACTTGTATGGTGATTAGTCTTGAAGCTAAAGTATTACAATCATAAAATGATATAATTGTAAGAAAAAATAGGAGAAGTTATATATGAACTTAATTTCATTTTATAAATCTTTTGGACTAATTTATAACTGTTTCTATTAATGCTCTTTAATTCTTAACATTTAATATTATAGGATTATAGATGTTGCAAATATCTTTTTATGGTATAAGTACATTAATTTTTTATCAATAGAATTATATATTGTTTTAATATATTGGGTTGAGTGGAAAGTTTCTTCTACTTTTCTTACTAAATATCTTTATATAATAATCCGATTAATAATTCAACTAATCAATTATATAATTTTCATTACTTTTTATTTTTTTAATGATCTACAAACTTTTTTATTTGTTGCTTATAGAAAATTGAACACAACACATATTTGAATAATATGATTCATTTTTTTTATATAACTTAGATATTTTCTTGTCTAAATAAATGTGCAACAATCTGAATAAGTGGTAACAAAATGTCATGTTTAATAAATATGATGTACTTTCAACAATTTCCTAATTTAATTACTTCCTAAACTCATATGCAGATAAATTATTTTCTTTATATACTTTACTACAAGTATTCATTTACATGTTTTAATTAATAACTATCAAAATTTTCAATTTGCTTACAAAAGTTTACATTAAATTCTTTTCCATATATCTTATTAAAGTATAAATCTCTTTTTACATAAAGTTTTTTGTTTATTAATTCAAATTACTGGCTTTTTGCATATTATATATACCATAAAACATTGACTTTTTATCATATATGCCAATCAATTAAAAAAATACTGCTTGTTATACATTTTTTAATAAAAATACATTTTATTGTATAATCCAATTTACTTTTTGCTTTTTATACATAACACTGTCCAAATGGAATGTTCCCAGTGTTTAATATGTATTTGGAATTTATCTTTAGTAAATAAATCATCATTATTTATTTTGTTTCGTTTGGTTTCTTATATCATCTATGGTATGTCATGTAATAAAAATATCCTGATTAATATTTTTCAATTTATATTTGATGTTTTCAAACTTTAGTAGTGCACTCTTCATACATTTCATAAATGTTCTTTACTGTTTGTGTAATTATAGTGCCTCTCTGTAATATATAAAATAATAAGTATTGCATATGCATTTTGTTCATAATAGAAAAAGATAGTTAAACAGTTGAGAATATATTTGTAGACATACAGCACATATTGAATAAAATTAGAAATACCAAAGAATAACTAATAAATTAAGCATAATAGAAAATCATAATGATATTCTACAGCAAATTCAATAACTTTTCACTCAACCTGATATTTAACATTATAGTAAAATTTGTAGTTTTTAAATTTTTATTTTATGCTGTTTTCAAATTTACATGAATAATATATTGTAATACTTCCTAATTCCTTTAAACCTACCTAGAAGATTCTATTTCTTCTAATGCTTCTACTGCATTTAATTGAAGGGCATCCAACTTTTTGTCAAGTACCTAAAATTCATTGTAATGTAAATATTATTCACATATATAATACAATATAATATCATAACATTCTTAATTATACATTTTGAAAGAACTTTTTCAAGTATTTAATTAAGTAAACTAATTGTATCCAGTATATATGAAATATTATTTTCTTTAAACCATAATTTTAATTATAACACATGTAATTTAAAGTATTTATATCATATTATATAATGTTAGTTAATATAACATAAATCCGTAATGAACAAAAGTATTGAGACAATATATGATTCAATATATAAACATTTGTAACTATGAAAAACATGCATTGCTTTTTTTTATACAAATTTTTGTTTATATTATGTTACTACATGAAAGAAAGTGGATAACATGCACTTAATAAAAATGCTTTATTATAATCACTTTATGCCTGAAGTAACAGTACTGGCATATTTTTATTAATAATATATTTAAATACTAAATTAATGTAATTTAACATTTTATAATATATCATCTTTTGTTTAGTATCATGTTTATTCTACTTAACATTAAATTGATCATGAATATTTTCTATTGATTTAGATTTTGACTCTGATATAATATTAAAAACTACTTTGTTTCTAAAATTTACATTTAAAACACCTAATCAAATCTTTCTATTATCTATTTCAATAAATACCAATTTTCCAAATGAACACATATATAGGCAATATATATACTCCATTACAGGCATATTTTACTACAAGGTACAAATTTTTGTCATCCATTTTAATATTATGACTTTTCTACATTAATATTCAGTCATTTGACTCTCAAATAATAATATTTATTCCTTTTTTATCAGTTTCACTTGTATATAAGTTTTTTCAAATGACGTGTGCAAAATACCTGGCATTTTTAAGCATTTAACATATTGTTTTTAAACTAAATTTTTTATTGTATATTGTGGTTATAGATTTTTAACAGTTTTTAATTAGTGCTTAACCTCCAATGTTATCACTTTTAAATTTTGTTTAATGATGTTAATCATATTTCTTCTTTTTATAATAATATAAATTATCAATCATTTCATGAATGATTAGGGATATTTGATTTACCTTTAAACTTTCTAATGATGTTATAAACAGTAATATAACTTCTTTAAGTTATTTGTCCAATTCTTATATATAAATTGTTTTGTTTATATAAATTCAATATAATTTTTCTTATTCCAGATGTTGCTTCTTTAGTTATTCTTGACATTTTTAATCTATCTAAAAAATTCATTAACTAAATGAATTTCCTTATATTGATACAAAATAAACTAAATTAAATGAAATAATATTTCTGTGATATACGTTTAAATAAGTTTTTTCAAGTAAGTAGCAATACTTTTGCCCAGACATAAAATGACTATAAAACATATTTTTATTACTTGTATATTATTCATTTTATTTAAATGGCTTAATTTATATATATAAACATAAAATATCATAAATCAGAATTCATATAGAGAAAAAGATAAATATGGAAAACTTTTTTGGGTAATTATAAATATTTATACATTGGATCATGTATTATACCAATACTTTTGACCATTATATGTTTAAGTAATTTATATAAAAATTTAAAATATTTAGTATTTTATATTTTATACCTAATCATATTTTGTTAAAAAATGTTTTTATATTTCATAAGCAATATACTTTTACAAAAATATGTCTTTTCATGTAAAGTACAACTTTATTGCCACTGTCATCACTAGTCACATGGACACTTATTTATTTAACAGTAAATATATATGTATACATATATACAAAAATAATTTAACAACAATCATTTTTTATAATAGTAATTTGCAAGATTGTATCATTAAAAATATTAAACTTAGCATTAACATTTCAAAAACAGTTTCCATACAGGTTAAGATAATTATATCACAAGTCAACCTTAAATAATACTATTTTATATAGTGTAAAAAACAATTCACCTCTGATTCTTCAATTTCTTCCCAACTTTCAAGAACGTCATCCATGGCTGACATTTTTCGAATTATACACTTATTTTTAACTCTTATAAATCACCTTGAAAAACTTAACAGCGTTCGCATGAACCGAGAAACGTAGAGACGTGTATACGATTGGTATATAGATACTTTTTGGTAATAGAAAAATTAAAATAGTTGTGTTATGTCATATTAGCCAAATAAAGAGACTAAATATTTCCTAGATAAATTTCTTTTTGGCGGTATGTTCAAATTACACAAAAATTTGTATAAATATGTGGTATTAAATTCTAACGATTTATATTAATAAATAATGTATGAATTACTAAATCGATTAAATAGTCTATTGATTTAATATATGATAAAATTGTATTAAATTAATAGCAAAATATGCTCTATTAAAAAAATATAAAATTGATTTTGGTTTATCTTTTATTTATAATAAAAATTTATAGAATATTTTTAATTAAATATGTTTGCTTAACATAAAAAGTAAATAGAATAAAATTCTATCTTGTCTAAAATTTATATAAATTATATACTAGAATTCCTATGACATATGGATTATTATACTTGTATTAATTAGTATAAAATATTAATATAAAAATATTTAAATATAACCTAATGAACAATATAATTCATATAATTTATTAATTAAATACTCTAGAAATATAAAATATACCACTTTTTTTTATTAATATATGTGTTGTTTCAAGGTGTTTCAATAAAGAAATTCGATAATTTGAAAAAGTAAAGTGAGCATATTTTTGTAAATAATTAATTATATTTGACGTTATATTATAATTATTATTAACAAATATAGTTGTAATAGAATAATAAAACACATTTTTAAGTATTTTTGAGAAATTTGAACATCAATTAAAGACTAATACATAAATGAAAAAAATTTTCCCATAGTAATTAATTGTAATGAAAATTTTCATAAAGTAATTGATACTTACATATTTGTAAAATTGTTTAAGCTAAAGTGTTTATAAATAAGATTAAAATTGTACTTTTTACAAAAATTATTTAAATTCTATTAAGAATATTTAATATTTCCTTTTGTAATAGCTCTTAAAAATATTTAAAAATTATAAAAATATAAACAAACAAAACTTGACAGCAATATATGTATAAAACATATATATATATATATATGTACATATTTTGCTTTATAATAGATATTATAACTTATAATATATAAATAGCTGATTAATGTATAAAAAAAAAAGATAATTTATGGAACATCGTAGTATTCGATGAAATAGTTTAAAATTATGTAATTGTTTTAAGATATAATAACATTAAATAGTTCCTTCAACTTGACTTCACAAAAATTTTATTGTGTTTATATTTAATAAATTGCAGAGAAATTTTTAATCATTCTAATATAATGTAAGGAATCCACTGACCTGTATTATAATTGAAATTATCTTATATAAAGATCAAATTGTATTCCATATTTTATTGATAGTAATGTTAAGATAATTGTTTAAAATATTAAAATACACTTTAATATTCATAATATTGTTAATAAAATATGTCAATCTAATGCTTATGAATGACATTCAAGTTTAATCTACGATTGATCTGTTGTCAAGGTTTATGCGTCAAAAACATAAAGTAACTATGGGAATATATGAACTGTGATAGATATAAACAAATTTGTATTTATGCTTTCTTTAATAATCAAAGAAATGATACAAAATTTGTTAATTTTGAACATATATACAAATTGACAAGCTTTAAAATAATGCTTGTTGTTCCAATAATACTTTTACTTGAATTTAATATTTTATTTGAATTTAATCTATGAATCTATTTTTCTTTCATTAATATTCTGAAAAAATACGAAATAAATTGCATTATTTTAAATTAAATAAAAATATACTCCACATAATGTTATCTCAATCATTTATATTATTTATCTTTACGTCAGCTTATGTGTAATTCCTAAGAAAAAATCTACTAAAATAATCACATAATTATCTTTCAAATAATTTATGTTAATTAACCTATAAACCTGTTAGATTTAATATGTCATGATATAAACTAAAATTATTCTCTCACAAAAATAATAGCATAGATTTTACAAAACTCATCTTTCTTTCTTTCTTTTTTTTTTATTATGCTACTCACATTTGTTATTATTGCACTTAAACTGTGATAACATGAAGTACTATTTTATTTAATTTAATATAATCCGATTAAATTCATATTTGAATTCCCTTCAATTGGATGGTCTCACTAATTCTCTACAACATTTTTTCTAATAAGTAAAACTAAAGACATAATTAAAATCTCATTTTTTATTAGCAGGGGCAATACATATCTTTTGTCAACTTTAAATATCAACTAATTGCGGTTTACTCTGTTGTTTGCTCATACGCATAATATTAATTTTATTAACTAAAATTTAGTTCATGAAATTCCAGAAATCAAAACTTGTTACGTCTTAATATTAACTTTATGAACCTAAACGTTTTAAAATCAATGAGACATGGTTATACTCTTGGTTTTAAACCACGTTTACATTAGACAACGTTTGGTTGGTTGACTAAATTAATTGTTATTTAAAAAAGATTTACGTTAGGGTTTCTAAAGAGGATTCGGATTCGAACGTGGTGAGGTAACTAGCCATAGTGCGAATAAACAAAGTTAACCTGAAAATGGCCAAATTGTACAAGTAGAAGGCGCAAAAAGTAGTGATTAGTGTTACGGCCCATGGCCAAACGAAAGTATCTAAAATGTAAGCTTTACTAGTGTATTTTGTAGCAGTTTATTCAAAGAAAACTGTTAAGTGCGATCATGCAACAAATGACATTGAGCGCTGTCATATGCCAGACAGGAGTATGCAGGGAAATTTATGGGTCCATGTGGGCTATTCAACTTCCCGATATTCTATAGCTAACATGTCGTCGATCACGTGACTCATTGTTGATTTGTGTGACATAATTTTCGCGCGTACGCAGTGTCAAAAATTTTAGCGAATCACGGTCGATATTTGTTATTAGTTATAACTTATGGAAAATTTATCAAAAAATTTGCGATATTAGCATTCAAAAGCTTAAATTTTTCGATGACATCAAATGTATTATAATATTGCATTCTTAATAATACATTTTATTCTTTTTTTTTTTTTCTTTGAAGAAGTAAATTTGTATATTCGTAATATTTTATTTCATCCGTATTCGGTAAGATTTTACTTTCGATCTACTTCAAGGATGAGTTTTGTTTACGTATTGTTTTATTCTTAGATATTACTTATACACGCGTTCTATGAAAAATCGTTGTGGTTGACAAACTTTACAATACATTACTGACAGAGAGATTATTGCTATATGGATAAGTGAATAAGGAACTGTACAACAACCTTCTGAATATTGAAATTGATCTTAAATATATAATTGTAGCCCCTTTAAGCAAATTCAAGTTTAAATTTAATGTATGTATACATGAAATTAACGAACTTTATAATTGATTTTGTTCGCTATTAACGACAAATTATACCATCAAATTTTTAATTTTCATGGCGGTGCTGTTAAACAGAGAAACTCTTGATACATAATTTATCAAAAATATGTTACAAATAATGTTGCAGCCCCAGGACCGGACATCCCAAGTCTTCGCGGAGGACTGCTTTGTATTCTTATCGCCGGCGCCCTTCGATACACGCACACTCGATGCCGCCTGTCACCGCTTGGGTGATCCTTGACAGGGATCAGTAAATCATTCTTAACCAATCAGCTGTGTTTGATGACAATATCCGTCATGGAGAAATGGCAAAATTTTATGTCATAATTTTGTTACCATTTAATATTCAAATTGTAATTTTGGCGAAAATTAAAATACATTGGTAAATTTTAATATCTTTAGAATGTTTAGAGGTCAAGACGAAATGAAACAAACAAATAAAAAGTATAAATAGTTTGAGATGGATTCATGCATCCATAACATCCTGAGAGTTAACTCATGAAGTAGTTGTCCATTGCAATAGTAAAATTGGTGAAATAGATATGAGTGATGGCATAATTACTGTATATTCAACAGCAAAGAAAAGGCTAAAGAAATATTATAAAAAAATATTTCTACACATTTTAGATATTATGTGTTTAAATTCATTTCTAATATATAAAAAGAATGGTGGAAAATTAATGTGAGTAAATTTTTTATTAAAGTATATTGAGGACACAATTGCATCGTATTTCATCGAATCGCAAAAATCAGCACAATCTCGGCCAACGATATCTAATGTTTTGCATTTGAGCGGGAAACATTTCCCGGATTATATACTGAGTTCAACAACAAACAATCCTTCGCGAAAGTGTCCACTTTGTTATAAAAAAAGATAAGAAATGAATCGCGGTATTGGTGTCCGACATGCGAAGTACCACTATGGGTCATTCCTTGTTTTCGTGAATACCATACGACAGCATCAGTTTCAATTTTTAACCTTTATAGATATTTCATGTTTTCTTAAGTTTTCCGTTTATTATGTATATAGTATATGTTTATGTTAAGCGACTAGGTAAATATTAGTAATAAAATTGTTCATTTTATAAAATAAAGTCGTCTTTTTGACCCAATATTTCAACAGTGACACTTACTCTGCGTTTGACGACTATATCCGGCATCGTTTGATTCTCGCGACACACACAAATGCGCACTCCGCTAAGAGGTCGCCACAGCTGATTGGTTAAGACGATAAGTCCCAAATTGTTTGATCATCCACCGCTACCAGGGGATGTCGTGGCTGGCGCACACCCCCCGATATTGTTCACAACCAATCGGAGGGATACGCACCCGTCACTTACATTTCACACCAACCAATCAGTGGACATACAAAACTTATTAAATCACGGAGACAGCAATCACGAAGAAAGAGTTCTTCTAAAAATCCCAAGAAGGTAAGGCAAACATCACGATCAGACTATCAGTCAAAACCTACGACGATCAACTCAGTGCAAGAGACAATCACACATCAGAACTCTTTAGTTTAACCCTAACAAGGTCTAGCTCTATTAATTTAGAGTAAGCCGCATCCCAACAACATTGTCGCATCAGCGTAAACGGGTCTTACAAACCCGCGAATCTCTCACCGTGCGAGT